TCAAATGATGATTACTCTGATAGTAATGGAAAATCAAAAACATTTGAAGTCACAAGACAATCATTATCAATAATGAAATCTGTAAGTGATGATAACGATTGGATGGAACAACGTAGAAGTGTCTCGTTAGCTGATAACCACAAGGTCGTAAATTCTTTTGGATCGAGAAATAACAGTCTACAAAATAATTCATCACAAAGTAGCGACGCGTCATCACCAGGAAGTCGATTAGGAACCGGATTAGGATTAAGTAGTAACAGTAATAATTTTAAAACGAATATTGATAATAGTGATAATAGAAACCATAAAAAGAATAATAGCAGTAGCAGTAATGTTAGTCATGGTAATAGAAGTAACATTGGCGATAAACCAGATAATGCAATAATGGTCATCAGACATATTTTCCATATAATCACACAAATCATCTTATTATTAGGAGCAATTTACATAGCATATTATTTGGGAGCAACAAAAATGTTAAGCAGAGTGTATTGTATAATTTTTATCGCGCTCGTCGTATTTGTTTATTTGGTTTGGTTATTCGCTGCTTGGTTAGGATATCCAAAAGATAGAGGATCATTGCTAGTATCATTTGCTGCTAAATATTGTGGTGGTAGAGACAATTACTTACCATATTCTAATGAAGGTGACGAAAGTGATGACGAGGGAAAAAAGGAAATTACAGCTGTTTCTTCTACTCCTCTAAATATAACGAATGTAAATAGTGGCAATAATGATGTTGATGAAGATGCTGAACAAGACATGAGGGATAGAGAAGTTGTTGTCATGACAATACCAAAAAGAAGATTAGCTGTTGTCAATGTCTAGGAATTCAATTTAATTATAGGGTTTAATGACCAAGTTTTAATGTAATTAATAAATCTCGGCTTGGAACTATGGTTAATTTTAATATTTATAATTTTAATAGTTTAGTTTATATGATTATTTATTTTTTTATAGACTTATTGTAAGAATATAATACGTAAAATTATTATTTTAACTGTGATATTTTTTTTTCATATTTTAAATATTTTATTTAATATTTTAATATCAAGTAATATTTCCTATCAATTATCAATTTTAGTTTCATTTATTTATGTAATTATTGTAATTGGACAAAAAAAATTTTCAATAAATAACGATAATAATGTAGAATTAGATTCTTCAAATTTCATATTTAAAAATAATATGTAAATAAATAAAATCAATAAAATCAAGTTACTCTTTATAATATGTTCTAAGCATGTCATATTAATTAATATTGAATCTACTAACGTTGTCCGCAGTCGATATCATGTAAAGAATACTGTTAGGCGTAACTCATCAAGAAGAGTAATTTCCAGCTTAAAAACTATGCCAATCATATTATTGCATTATTTAATCCTTTTCTTGAATGTGAATATTTCTGCCTCCACTATTGTATCACGCCTATTATGCATTTGATTATTCATAATTAATATTAATAATAATCAGGGTTGGCATTGGACAATGTTGGATACTGTCCAATGCATATCTAATGTCTCCCATGTATCTAATGTCTCCCATGTTCAATGTCAATCCACACTAATAATAAATACTAAGAAATGAAACTTTTAAGGAAACAACTTTTGAAAAAAACCCTGACAAGTAAAAGATGGGAAAATTTGGCAGATTTGAAAAATAAACCCTTGATAATTTAAACTGAAATTCTTTTCCATGTATAATAAGGATTCCGTTGCCTTATCGCCCAAGTGGTAGTGGTAATAATGGTCAAATCTCTCTACTTGGTTCCCTTTTTTTTTTTTTGATATGTGCTTCCCAATTGTATATATAATTACAAGTTATAGAGTTCCTTAAAAATCATCTCTAAAAAAATCAAATGAATAAACCTGAATCTGATCTAATTTAATAAAATCTTCCTTTACGAACATGCAATCACCATCATTCATATCCTTTCCACAGATTACAACGAATTGTTGAAACGTGATTAGTAGGTTTGGTGTAACGAATTTAATTGCGGTTTTCTATCGTTGAGATTTGACTGGATGAATGCATATATATAAAACCATTTTTTTTATTAGAAGTACAAATATTGTTTAAACATAGAATCTTGAATTGTTATCATTTTAGTCTGTCATAAAATCATTGGTGACGATTTAAATGTTCTAGAATTCAAGTATATTGTATAATTCATTATTGTTTTTACTTCTATTATTCCAGTGGTCTGCAAGATTGTGATTTTTTAAAAAATAATATTAAATTCGAGCCAGTGCTTTTTCATGTTCGAGTCCGAGCTAAGTATAAACTCAGTTCGTTCGGAGCTTTACAAAATGGTGCCTAATTCTGTGGGATGCTTCTTTACCACCAAACTTGGGTATAGCTCCTCTAAACCATGATGCTTGATTCTATGTGACATGTCAACAGTGAATTCAAACATAACACCAGTCATCAATACTTTCGAAATTACTGACACATGACAGACAATACTTTCCATCTTCAATATTTGAAACATCACGAATCATATTTTCTTCTAAAATTCTAAAACAGATATCATTTTGTGATGAATCACCATCTGACAAATGATGTACTTGGTAACAGTTTCCTAGACAGATGTGGACATGTTATATCCTTTCGAAAATCTGCTCACATAAAAACTCCATAATGCCAATGTTCTCAGATCTTTCGATGAAAAAAGCCAATTTTTTTATCAATCGAGTTATTACCAGAGTTTGAGAATAGCAGACTGTATATGACAAGCATTGATGCTTATCTTCCTCCTCTTCAATAGATTGTGATGTGAATTATCTTATCAATAATGATTGTGAACATACAATTCATTGTTATCCTCTTAGTTTACCTAGGCCATAATGTAAATTTTGTTACAAATGGTAAGGTTTATAGTTACCCATTAACTTATTATAGCGATGGTGGTAAATCTGATGAATTAGAAATTTTCAAATAGTTGATTAAAAAATAAAATAATAAACACTACGAGCATGTAAATACCAATATACAAGTTTGAGAGGTGTCCGATAAATATAAAAAATTGAACAAACTATAAGTTCAATAATCATATGAATACTACTGACACACAAACTTATGTATTAAATGCCAACACACAGCTAAAGCTTCGAACGGTTCGGTTTCGGTTTACTCTTTGAACGAACCATTCGAAGCTTTAGGCCAAAAACTACTTGGCAGTCACTGGTATTCTAATCTAATAAACTTATTATTATAGCAACCAGTATCCCGGTTGAACGAGTTTTTTCTGGAGACACAAAGGCGTTGTAGTTTAAAACCTGAAACAATAAGAGTTTGAATGCGTTGAAAGAGTTTGTGAAGTCGATGAATTTTTTATATGAATTGAAAAAATAGAACGTCCTTTAAGTTTCTATTCGAATAAGGTTTATTCGAATTACTTGCTTCATTCATTATGAATTTGAGTATTCTAATTACATTGAAAGTTAAGCCGAATAAAACAAATAAAACGAACAAAACGAATAGAGCGAATAGAACAAATAAAGCGAATAACTCGAATTAATATTAATATTAATAATATTATGAATAGAAACAAAATTTGTGTAATACATCTATGAATGAATATGCAACGATCAGTCTATAATTGTATTATGTATGAAATGGATAAAGTTCTCCATTCTAATTTTGGCAAAAATAGACCATCGCTACTATGGTATAAAAATTATAACTATGTTTATGTATTTAGAAACAGGATCCTTCCAATATCTCTACTTCGCAACACATTCGCCAAAACCAAGCTACAATTTATTATAATTTTCTTGCGAAGTTATTATGTATATTTTTGCATAATTAACAAATTTAGAATGTATGAAATTTTTGGATCAATATGTGCTTGAGAATTAGTTTTACATTTTTACTCCTTTGTATCACATAAATTTTGGTGAGACCTTTTTGACTGTTGACGTAGCATAACTTCGCTCACTTTGTTCGCTTCGTTGATAACGTAGCACAATTTGAAAATGAATGTAATGGTGTGTTGGCATTATCATGTGTGCTAGTGTTTTTTTTGCATTCGAGTTTTGACATGAAATGGATACTGTGGTGCTAGCTAGCGCCAGAAAAACACCTTTACAATGGTGTCAATCAGTTTGCAAAAGGTAAAGTAACGAATAATTTTGTTGATTACGATTGATTCAAATTTTGGAATTCTTGAAATTCTTGATTATAAAAATTAAAAGCTCGCCTTTTTATCTAAATAAATTGTAAAAAACCATTCCAAAATAAGTTTTCAACATGGGTTAATTTTTTTAAAAACTCATCATTAGAGACATCTCATAAATGAGTAATATTTTCTTAGAATATTCTTTAATTCTATAAAATCATTTTCGCCCAAATTGAAAATGATTAAATGCAATTAGTCACGTAATTCAAGAACCAAATTGAACGAGCGAGTCGGGTTTAAAGTGATTCGATTCAAATCAAACCATATTTTTAAACTGATATTTATTTTAAATAAAATGTCGCATTTTACATGTTTTTTATATGCGTTAAAAATGACATTTTTTATTAATACAATTAAACATCTCCATTACTATATAAATCTATAAATCTATAGATAAGGAATAATAATAACAATAATAATAATAATAACAATAATAATAATAATAATAATAATAATAATAATAATAATAATAAAGTATATTTTGATTTTTTTTAATTTTTATCAATCACTTCAAAGACTTCTAATTCGTTAAATTCACTGCCATGTATTATGTTGATATCATTATAAGTCTTTAATCTACTATGAACTTTGCCATCTGTACGAAAGCAAATATCACAACCCAGGCCAAAAGCAGGTAGATTAGAAGAACTACATTTAATTGCATGGTTATAATCATCATTAGCCACATAACTAAATTGTGCTGTAGTGATATCGTTTCTATCTATATTAAATATAAAACTTTCATCTGTACTTTTGTATATACCGCTTCCGTTCCAATCAAGCGGATTGTAACCACCAACTATTTGTTCTGAACTTTTTAATCTAGCGACTACAAGAGTTCGATTGGTATCGTCACATTTATGACGAAACGCAATTCTCTTTAAACCATCTCGACTACTCCGATATATGAGCCTAAATTTGTAATTAACTTCACTGATTAAACTATATGACGTGCTCTTTCTATCGATCCAGCTTGCAAATAGTAAAATAAGCTTCTGATCATTTATTAACGAGCCAAGTTTTAGAATTCTTGGTGGTGATAAATTTAAAGATGACTCGCTTTTAGGAACTATATAATAGTGTAAAAGGTCATTCCATAAAGTTTTATGGAAAAGTTTTTGATATGGTACAATTTTATTAAAAAAATCCTCATTGCAAATTTCCTGAAACCTGATCAAAGAAACAAATCCTTTTAATGTGGTTTCTAAATCAATAAAATTTTGCGATGACCAATCTTCAACATTGATATTGCTGATTTCTGAATGTTTTGCTAATCCCCATTTGAGAAGATTTTCCCAAACATCGATTTCATCAACAAAAAAATCATCTCTTTCGAGAATTTCCAATAGAATTGGTTTTTCCAATAATTCAAATTCGCTTGACTGAAACAATTTA